AGATCATTTGGGAGTGAGGAAAACTCAGGCAAAATACAAAAACATGTTCACTGGCCTGGATTGCATAAGGATGTGGTTGAATTTTGCGGGACATTTCATACGTGTCAGGTAATTGGTAGACCTCAGGCAGCGATAAAGCCAGCACCTTTAATACCCATCCCTGCATTTGATGAACCTTTTATAAGGTTCTTAATTGGCTGTGTAGGACCCCTACCTAAAACAAGTATTTGCTGACCATAATGGATGCGTCTAGTAGATTTCCTAAGGCCATTCCATTACGCAGTATCATGGCTAAAAGGACTGCAGAAGAGTTAATCAAATTTTTCACAAGATACTGACTACCCACAGGGGTATAATCAGATCTAGGGTCAAATTTTACATCAAAATTATTCAAGTAAGTCATGGATAGCTTAGGATTAAAACAATTCAAATCCACTGCGTACCATCCAGAATCACAGGGAGCATTAGAACGGTGGCATCAAACTTTAAAGACCACGATGAGGGCTTATAGCTAAGACTATCCAGAGGATTGGGATAAAGGAATTCTGTTTGTGCTTTTTGCATTTAGGAATGCACCTAATGAACAAGTAAATTCAGTCCATCTGACTTAGTTTTTGGGCATGATGTTAGAAATTAATCAGGGTAAGAAGAAATTGGTGAGTCAGAGCTCAGAGTCCACAGATTTGGATTACACGTCAAATTTTAGGGGAACATTAAATAGAGTGGGCGAATTGGCGAGACATCATTTACAAGTAGAACAGCATGCGCTGGAACAGGAAGCAGGCAAGAAATGAAAATTTTGCAATTTCACTAACAGAGATAAACTGTTAGCGCTACTTCCTTTAAAAGCAAGGTTTAGTGGATCTTATCAAATTGGAAGGAGACTGATTTTACTCAATAAGAGATAGAAAGAAATCTCACAGAGTGTGTCATGTGAATATGCTCACACGATATTTTGATAGGAAAGCAAAAGGTGAACGTGTTACTGGTTACAACACAGAGTGAGGAACCAAGTTCAGAGGATTCTGAATTGGACATTCCTCAAATTAAAATTGGACCATGAGGCAGTTCTCAAAACTTGGAATAAATTATTGAATTACCTTCAGAAGAAAATCAAAAAATGACCTGAAAGAGGTATTAAAATTACATGGGGAGATACAGGGGCATAAGCTAGGAAGCACTTTTTAAAAAATTTATTCACCTGTGGGACGTGGGCGTCGCTGGCTGGGCCCACCATTTATTGCCCATCCCTAGTTGCCCCCCTTGAGAAGGTGGTGGTGAGCTGCCTTCTTGAACCGTGCAGTCCACCTGCTGTGGGTTGACCTACAACGTCCCTTAGGGAGGGAATTCCAAGATTCTGACCCAGCCACATTCAGTGAACGGCCGATATATTTCCAAGTCAGGATTGTGAGTGGCTCGGAAGGGAACTTGCAGGGGGCTGGTGTTCCCATGTATCTGTTGCCCCTTCTGGATGGAAGTGGCCGTGGGGTTTGGAAGGTGCTGCCTGAGGCTCTTTGGTGAATTTCTGCAGGGCATTTTGTAGATGGTACACACTGCTGCTACTGAGCATCAGTCGGGGGGTGGGGTGGGGGAGTGGATGCTTGTGGATGTGGTGCCAATCAAGTGGGGGCTGCTTTGTCCTGGATGATGTTGAGCTTCGAATGTTGTTGGAGCTGCCCCCATTCAGGCAAGTGGGGAATATTTCCTCACATTCCTGGCTTGTGCCTTGTTGATGGTGGGACAAACTTTGGGAAGTCTGATGAGTTACTCGCTACAGGATTCCTAGCCTTTGTAGTAGCCTCTGACCTGCTCTTGTAGCCACTGTGTTTATGTGGCAAGTCCACTTGCGCTTCTGGTCAATGGTATTCCCTAGGATGTTGATAGTGGGGGATTCAGTGATGGTAACACCACTGAATGTCAAGAGGTGATGGCTAGATTCTCTCTTGTTGGTGATGGTCATTGCCTGGCATTTGTGTGGCGCAAATGTTACTTGCCACTTGTCAAGCCAAGCCTGGATATTGTCCAGACCTTGTTGCATTTTAACATGGGCTGCTTTAGTATCTGAGGAGTCATGAATGGTGCTGAACATCCCCACTTCTGACCTTATGATGGAGGGAAAATCACTAATGAAGCAGCTGAAGATGGTTGAGACTAGCACACTACCAAGGAACTCCTGCAGAGATGTCCTGGAGCTGAGATGATTGACCTTCAACAACCACAACCATCTTCCTATGTGTCAGGTATGACTCCAACCACCGGAGAGTCTGCCCCTGATACCCACTGACTCCAGTTTTGCTAGGGCTCTGTGATGCCACACTCGGTCGAATACAGCCTTGATATCAAGGGCTGTCACTCTCACCTCACCTCTGGGATTCAGCTCTTTTATCCATATTTGAACCAAGGCTGTAATGAGGTCAGGAGCGGAGTGGCCCTGGCGGAACCCAAACTGGGCGTCACTGAGCAGGTTATTGCTGAGCAGGTGCTGCGTGATAGCACTGTTAGTGACACCTTCCATCACTTTACTGATGATCGAGAGGAGACCGATGGGGCGGGAATTGGCCGGGTTGGATTTGTCCCGTTTGTCGTGTACAGGACATACCTGGGCAATTTTCCACATTGTCGGGTAGACACCAGTGTTGTAACTGTACTGGAACAGCTTGGCTAAGGGAGCGGCAAGGTCTGGAGCACAAGTCTTCAGTACTATTGCCGGAATATTGTCAGGGCCCGTAGCCTTTGCAGTATCCAATGTCTCCAACTGTTTCTTGATATCACGTGGAGCGAATTGAATTGGGTGAAGACTGGTATCTGTGACACTGGGGACCACTAGAGGAGGCCGAGATGGATCATCCACTCGGCACTTCTGGCTGAAGATTGCTATGAATGCTTCAGCCTTATCTTTTGCACTGATGTGCTGGGCTCTTCCATCATTGAGGATGGGGATATTTGTGGAGGCCCCTCCTCCAGTGAGTTGCTTAATTGTCCACCACCATTCACGACAGGATGTGGCAGGACTGCAGAGCTTAGATCTGATCCGTTGGTTGTGGGATCGCTTAGCTCTGTCTATCACTTGCTGCTTTTGCTGTTTGGCGTGCAAGTAGTCCTGTTTGGTGGCTTCACCAGGTTGGCACTGCATCTTCAGGTATGCTTGGCGCTGCTCCTGGCATACCCTCCTGCACTCTCCATTGAACCAGGGTTGATCCCCTGGCTTGATGGTAATGGTTGAGTGGGGGATATGCCGGGCCATGAGGTTACAGATTGTGCTGGAGTACAATTCCGCTGCTGTTGGTGGCCCACAGCGCCGCATGGATGCACAGTCTCGAGTTGCGAGATCTGTGCGAAGTCTGTCCCATTTAGCACGGTGATAGTGCAACACAACACGATGGAGGTTGTTCTCAATGAGAAGGCGGGACTTCGTCTCCACAAGGACTGTGCGATGGTCACTCTTACCGATACTGTCATGGACAGATGCAACTGCATCTGCTGCTGGGTAAGGATGAGGTTGAGTATGTTTTTCCCTCTTGTTGGCTCCCTCACCACCTGCCACAGACCCAGTCTAGCAGCTCTGTCCTTCAGGACCCGACCAGCTCGATCAGTAGTACTGCTGCTGAGCCACTCTTGGTGGTGGGACATGGAAATCCCCCACCCAGATGACATTTTGTGCCCTTGCCATCCGCAGTGCTTCCTCTGAAAGAGTAGTTCAACATGGTGAAGTACTGATTCATCAGCTGAGGGAGGACGGTACGTGGTAATCAGCAGGAGGCTTCCTTACCCATGTTTAACCTAAAGCCATGAGACTTTGTGGGGTCCGATGTTAAGGATTTCCAGAGCAACTTCCTCCCGACAGTATCCCACTGTGCCGCCCCCTCTGCTGGGTCTGTCCTGCCGATGGGACAGGACATATCCTGGGACGGCAACAGTGGTATCTGTGACGTTGTCTTTTAGATAGGATTCTGTACATCAATGTCAGGCTGTTGCTTAACTAGTCTGAGAGACAGCGTCGCCCAGTTTTGGCACTAACCCCCAGATGTTATCGAGGAGGACTTTGCAGGGTCGGCAGGGCTGTTTCTGCTGTTGTCTTTTCCGGTGCCTGGGTTGATGCCAGGTGATCAGTCCGGTTTCATTTCTTTGTCTCAATTGGTACAACTGAATGGCTTGCTGGGCCATTTCAGAGGGCAACTGAGAGTCAACCACATTGCTGTGGGTCTAGGGTCACATGTAGGCCAGACCAGGTAAGGGCGGCAGATTTCCTGCCAATAAGGACATTAGTGAACCAGATCTGTTTTTCCGACAATTGACAACGATTCCAAGGTCATCAACAGATCCTCAATTCCAGGTTTTTAAAAAAAATTACTGAATTCAAATTCTACCATCTGCCATGGCGGGATTTGAACCCCAGAACATGAACGGAGTTTCTGGATTAATAGTCTCCTGACAATACCACTAGGCCTAGTTAAGGGTCACTCGACCCTGAATGTTAACCGATTTCGCTCCGCAGATGCTGCCAAACCCACCGAGCTTTTCCAGCAATTTCTGCATATCGACGGGTTTCTTTTTTTTTAAAGAAAGGGTGGGAGGGAGAGGTGTCATGTCGCTGTGGCTTTAAGAGGTCATTTTGTCCTGGTTTTGTTTTGAAGAGAGGTTGTGAGGCAGAGGTGGCGAGCTGTCTACCAAAATCACTCCAGTAAACCGCTTGTGAGGCTTTGAGTTTTTGTTAAAGGTGGAACAATGGAGGGAGCTGTGGTGGGTACAGCCAGCTCTCTCAGACCAGGCTCTCTGGGTTTTTTTTTAAAAAACTTTTTTTAGGGTTTAGTTTGAAGCAGTTGTTGTTCTGGGCTTGAAGAAATGGAAGCTATCATTCCCCCCGCCCCCCTCTCTCGGTTACAGCTAGAAGCTGGGGTTTCTCTCTACTGCTGGTTTACTGGAGAGACAAATCTATTTTTCTGAATGGTTACTGTAACTAGTATTTGGTTAAGTTTCTCAATACACTGAAGTTATTCTAAAGTTCATTCTCCTTCAGCTTGTATTTTAACTTTGGTGTTTAAATGAATTGTGATTCACTTAACGTCGAGTAGTTTGAACAGTCACTTTGCATCTGGAACACTGCACTGTATGGCACAGCACTGGGCTATATTATTAAAATCTTTTGAGGGGATCTGGTCTGGTCCACAACGGTTGGCACCATATCTACAAACATCCACTCCCTCCACCACTGACTCTCAGGAGCAGCGGTGTGTATTATCTACAAGATGTCCTGCAGAAATTCACCAAAGATCCTCAGGCAGCACCTTCCAAACCCCACGGCCACTTCCATCCAGAAGAACAAGGGTCAGCAGATACATGGGACACAACCCCCTGCAAGTTCCCCCTCCGAGCTACTCCCATCCCAACTTGGAAATATACTGCCATTCCTTCAGTGTCGCTGGGTCAGAATCCTGGAGCTCCATCCCTAAGGGAACTGTGCTGGTCTATGCACAGCGACTCAAGACAGCAGCTCACCACCACCTTCTCAGGGGCAATTAGGGACAGGCAATAAATGTGGCCCAGCCTGCAACACCCCTGTGAATAATCAAAAAGACTGCAGCGCAGCAACTCCTCACAATCCAAAAGTATACTCTCAGTGAACTCTCTGGACCAGGGCCACTGAACTGCTACCTGGACTGGAAAGTCTGAGTTACAATGGGAGGTTGGATAGGCTGGGACTTTTCTCCCCGGAGCGCAGCGGACTGAGGGGTGGCCTTGTAGAGGTCTATGAAATCACAAGAGGCTCAGATAAGGTAGATATGCACAGTTTTCCCCATGGTAGGGCAGTCTAAATCTGGACGGCACAGGATTAAGGCGAGAGGGGGAAGAGATGCAAAAGGGTCCAAAGGAGAAAGTTTCTTCCACAGGGAGGGTGGTAAGTGTCTGGAGCAGAGGGAGTGCTGGAAGCAAGTTAAGCAATTTAAGAAACATTTAGACAGCTACATGGATGGGATAGGGATGGGGGGAAATGGGACAAATGCAGGCAAATGGGATTAGTTTATATTGTGAAAATGGGGCGGTGCAGGCAGGTTAGGCCGAAGGGCCTGTTTCCACACTGTCGACCACTGACTCTGTAACTGCCTTCCCCAGTGTGTACCTCCCGTGGTTTTTTTTTGCCTGTGGTGTACAGTTTTGGATGCCTTATCTGAGGGGAGGGAAGTTACTTGCTGGAGAGGGAGTTGTTGCGCAGGTTATTCCCCCCCTCCTTTGGGATGGAGGGATTGTTGTATGAGGAGGGATGGAGGAAACTGGTGTGTATGGCGTACAGTTTCGAAGAGGGAGAGGTAGTGCGGGTATACTGGCCAGCAGGTTAGGGCAGCACAGCAGCTCAGTGGTTAGCACTGCTGCCTCACAGCGCCAGGGACACGGGTTCAATTCCGCCCTCAGGCGACTGTCTGTGTGGAATTTGCACCTTCTCTCCCCGTGTCTGCGTGGGTTTCCTCCAGGTGCTCCGGTTTCCTCCCACTGTCCACAGATGTGCAGCTTAGGGTGGATTGGCCAATGGGAAATTGCCCATAGTGCCCAGGGATGTGCAGATGAGGTGGGTTATAAGGGGATGGTCTGGGTGGGATGCTCTGAGGGTCAGTGTTGACTTGTTGGGCCGAAGGCCCTGTTTCCACAGTGTAGGGATTCTATGATTGTGTAAGACAGGCAGCTGACTTACCTGGAAAAGCCCTTCCCACAGTGACTGCACAGGTAGGGTTTATTGACACCACCCTCGTGCGAGCGGACGTGGTAGCACATACGATCCTTGCGTTTGAAACGCTGCTGGCAGATGGGACACTCAAAGGGCTTCTCGTCCGAGTGCGAGAGTTTGTGGCGGTTCAAGTGGTAGATGTCACGGAAGGCCTTCCCGCACAGCTCGCAGCTGTGTTCCTTCCGGACCCGACGGGTGGGAGATGGGGAGGGTCCAGTTGGCTGCGGAGCCGCTTCAGCTGACCCCAGGCCGCCCCCTACTCCAGCCATGGTCATGCTCAGGAGGGCAATGGGCACCATGGTGGGTGGGCTAGGGTTGGTGCCAGCTTGCAGCTGGCTCTGGCCCCCACTGGAGTGGGTCCGCTGATGTCGCCGCAAGTTGTAATTGTTCTTGAGCTCCTTCGAGCAAAGCGGGCAGACGAAAGGTCCCTTGCCCCTGGCCTTGCCCTTGTCCGGCTCGGTCTGGGCCTGGGGCTGCGGCTCCTTCGGTCTCTCTGGCAGCAGTGGGCCGTCCGATGCCCTGGGAGCGCGACTGGAATCCTGAGAGACGGAGGTTGCGGTCAGGATGGGCAGGAGGTCGGCCTGGACACCAGCCGTCTGATCCACAGCAGCTGTCTGCAAAGAGAAAGAGAGAGAGAGAGAGAGAGAAGGGGAGGGCTTAGCTTGTGAAGAGCCAACATGCAAAACTGGTCACAGCACTGATCTCTGCTCACGGGGAGGGGAGGGGAGGGGAGGGAACAGGAAGGGTTGAGACAGAGACTCCCTTCACCAGGGTCTCTCCATATTAACAAGTCACTTTCTCTCTCTCACCGGGAAGATGAAGCTACTCCAAGCAGCCTCCATGGCGACCCCTGTAGCCTCCGTCACCCTCTCTCCCTGATTCTCTACGTTCCCTTCTCTCTCTCTTTATTCTCAAACCACCCTGCAGTCTTGCCCCTCTCTCCCTCTATATATCCCTTGATCCCTAACACTCTGTCTGTCTCTCTACACTATATATCTCCCCTTGTCTCCCTACACTCTGTACTCTCTCCCACTATTTACTCTCTGGAATGTGTCTCCCTATCTCTCTCCTACTGTATCTTTTTCTGCCTTTATATACTTGCTACACTGTATTCTATTTTGCTCACCCCCTCGCTATACCATATCCCTCTCCCTATCCCTTTACTGTTTCTACAATCCCTCTCTATTATTGTATCTCCCTGTCTCCAATCCTATTTCTGTACACTTTCTCTCTCTGTATCTTTCTCCCTCTCCCTGCACTGTATAGTTATATTTCTCTCTCTTCCCAGCAGACCCTTTATTTACAAACAGAACCTGCTCTCCCTCCCCTCGTTTTGTATTTCTCTCTGAATCTCTATATTACATCCATCTCTCTCCCACCCCTATACCGCATATAGATATGATCCCTCTATTATTTTCTCTTTCCCTTCCTTTATCTCTATATTATATTTCTCAGCTTCTATAGTGCATGCTATATTTATACTCCTCCCTATCTATATATTTCTCTCGCTCCTCTCCCTCTATTATTTCTACCTATGCTGTATAATATCCCTCTCTCTATTAATTTTATCCTATCCTCCGTCTCAACCCCACAACCCTATGTTATATTGATATTTCTCTCCCTCTCTCTACACTGTACCTTATTTCTATTGTTCTCTCTATAAGTTATTTCTCTCTATTATTGTCTCTGTCTACACTGTATATTATTTCCCCTCTCTCTATGTTATTTATCACACACTCCCTCCCTCTACACTGTATGTTATCTATATTAGTTTTACACTATCTATACTGAATATTTTCTCTCTCCCCCCTATAATGTATATTATTTATTTCTGTTCCTCCACTCTCTACCCCCCGGTCTATATTGTATATTTCTCCCTCTCCCTGTCTGTCTCTCCTGTATGTTAACCCTCTCTCCCTCTCTATACCGTATATGATCCCTTTCCCCCTCTCTATGCTGTATATTATCCCCTTCTGCTGCTCCCCCTCTCTGTATATGATCCTCTCTCTGTCTCTCCTTCTCTATCCCTCTGTATATTATCCTCTCTCTGTCTCTCTAGCTGACTATGATCCTGTCCCTCTCCCTCCCTCCCTCTCTTCATATATTATCGTCCACAACCCCACGTTTCTTTATCTTGTCCTGTCTGTATATTATCCTCCCTCCCCCCACCTCGTCTCTGCATATGACCCCGTGTCTCTCTCTCTCTCTTATCCCCCCTCTCTCTGTATATTATCCTTTCTCTCTCTTTCTCTGTGTGTGATCCTGTCCCTCGGTGTATTATCTCTCTCTCTCTCTCTGTA